ATGATTTTTTCTGTTTTTGAAAATTTTAGATCTAGTTTGAATGTTTTTTTTTGTGTTAACAAATTTTTACTTTTTTTTAATTTGTAAATTGTGGCAAAACTGTGTCTCAATGATACAATATTTTGAGGTAAACCTATGTAAAATGTTCCGGGGAATCGATTGGCGTCAAGAAAACCGCAAAATTCCTAATAGTTTTAAAGTTATAAGCGGATTTAAATTTTTGATATTTTTGATTTTATCAGAAATTTTCTCGATAACTATTTATCGTAGAACAGTAATCTTTTTTGGATATGATAGAAAATTAAATTTGCTTTTGAGTGGTACCAAAGATAAGAGGTTATTACCAATAAGTCCTGAATTAATCGACAAAAATCAAAAAAAATTCGCCTTGATCTAAACTAAAATCCCAACTAGTCATATTTCAGTCCCAACTCCCTCGACACACTGAAAATTATCCCCAACTAAAACTTCGCATCCCCACTGTCTAATAAATTCTCATTTTCAGACAACATGAAACCGAAAAAACCGGTCGACTTGACAATCCTGAAAAATCCCAAAGATCAAGACATGTTTGACAATATCGACGATGACGATTCCACATCCGACGAAGACGACGACAAGGACGACCTTGACGATTTAGCCGACGACACGGAACTCTCCGACGACCCCAACATCGACGACGAGGACGACGACGACGATGACGAATACGACGACTCGGATTGGGACACCACCTCGTCGAGCACGACGTCCAAACAACCGGCAATATCGACGACGACGACCACCACCACCACCACCACCACGGCGAAGACAACATCAGTGCCTACACCAGATCCGTATTTCACGCATTTTGACCCCAGGAATGAGCATCAGAGTTACAAGGAGGCGCAGGAGCGCCTGGAGGAGACACATAGGGAAAAGGTGACGAGGGTTATGAAGGATTGGTCCGATTTGGAGGAGAGGTATCAGGATATGAGACAAACTGATCCTAGAGGAGCCGATGAGTTTAAACAGAGGATGACTCAGAGGTTTCAACAGACGGTGCAAGCCTTGGAGGAGGAGGGAGATGCTGAGAAACACCAATTGGCGGCTATGCACCAGCAGAGGGTCCTCGCGCATATTAATCAAAGGAAAAAGGAAGCGATGACGTGTTATACACAAGCCTTGAATGATGCACCACTCAATGTGAGTCATTTTTATGAAAAAAA